CTTCCGATGAATCCTGAACACATAGCCAATTTATGACACATCTTTTACAAGTATTTAACTCCTCCACCATAGTTGTAATACACGTGAAACATAAATCATTTTGAGAGATTCTAAATTCTCATTCATTTAGTCTAAAATATAGAATACAAACCGCTAATCGCTAATGATGATAGATTCATACTAGTTTTTGTTTAAGTATTCATTAAGTAAGAGTGTCGTTAAATACATGACTGTTGTGTGTGTATACATACACATATATATATATATATATGTTATCATTTCACTTCAAATAATTAAACCAATAGTCCTTCGGCAAGAGATTAATTTATACTCTATTTAGTTTATTTAGATTTTGATTTTCATTACACAATTAATCAAAACTACAAGTTTTCTATTCATAAATTTTACTGTTCATAAAATATCGAGAATATAATTGGAGAATGTGGGGGAAAAGGGGAATGTCCATAATTAAAAAAAAGGTGCAAAAGCAAGATCTCGAAATGATTTTTTTTTTAAATTTTATATAAATTTTATGAAAGAAATAAAATTAGTAGGAAAAGAGTTGTGGTTATGACTTGTGACTAAAGTGACCCAAAATAGGAAAATGTCATCAAGTCCGTTTTTGGTTGAGACTCGTTAGAAATGATTTTGTCTCTTTGATGTCATCGATGGCAATTTCATTTTAATTTCGGATATGCGGGTGCACGAATTTGTACGATATTAATAGCATATTTTATAAATACAAATTAATAAATATACGTATATATAAAATTTTACTCCTAAAACCTTACTTAAAAGGGGTAAATAAATTTGCGGATAGAAGAGAGTCAAACGAGTACAATTTAAAGAGTTTTGAGAAATACACTATACAGTTGAAATGCAAAGTATCTTGGCTAAAAGTTAAATAAATTTTCGAAAGATACTTTTATGTTAGGGTTTTAGATCTTAATTTTTAATTTAGTTGACATATTGTTTTTATAATTAGTAAATAAAAATACTTTCAATAATTTTTAAAATAATGATTTTGACAACATTTAAATTTTTTGAATTTATTTAACTAATATTTCAAAATGTTTTATATAATTTAAATTTATATATATATATATATATATATGATACTTGGAACGTTTTTCAAAACAATTACATATGTGAACAAAACAATATAAAAAAAAATAATACAAATATTTTTTTTATGTATCTTTTAGGAGTCCCTTCTCTTACACTACTTTGTGTTAGCTAATTTAATAGGAAGAGAGGGCACAGCATACCTTACGACCTCTGCTTCATCACCTTTTCTTCTCCAGCTTTGTCTTTGCTCATGTTCAGCTGTGAGTTTCTTTTCTATGATTTTGTCTCTAATTTCTTCTTATTTTCAATTTCTCCGACTATCATTACATTTATTTTTCAATTCATATTCAATCGAATCTTTCGATGTTTAAACCATGATTTAGGGTTCATCAGGCTTCAAGCTGACAAATTCGCTGGGTATGTTTTCTACGTATGTTTCCATTCCATATGTATTTTAGTTTTATGTCTGGATTAGGGTTTCTTTTCTTTGATTCTTGTCTCTAATCTCATTCTTATTTTCAATTTCTCCCACTTTATCATTAAATTTATTTTTCGATTCATATTCAATCGAATCTTTCGATATCTAAAACCATGAGTTAGGGTTAATCAGGTTTCAAGTTGACAAACTTGTTGGGTATGTTTTCTATATATGTTTTTCCATTCCATGTGTATTTTAGTTTGATGTTTGGATTAGGGTTTACGATTAATCAGGGCTCATGGCTTTTTGGGTACTTAAATACGTATTCGTGTATTCTTTGGATAATTTCAGAATAAGAAAAGAGTTTTATTATCTATAAGGAAATTATGTGATCTCTTAGTTTTATGTTCTTTTACTCCAAAAAAAAAAAAGTGGTTCACATAATTTCTTGAAATTTTCAGATTTTTTTTTGGTTGTTTCAATGAGCTTTTTGTCATGCTGATGAATCAGTAGTTCAGTTTGAAATCGGTCCCGATCTGTCGGAATTCTCTATTTTCCAGATTTCCAGCAGATGATAATGTTGGGCCTACGTGGCACCCACTCGAAAATATAGTATTATTGTGACATAGAAATTAATAGTAATGTAAGTTAGATTTTAATTTTCTCTTACTAATATTGGGATTATATCTGTCTAAAAAGGTCTCAAACTTAATCTGGATTTCCGATCATAATCCAATTATAAAAAAAATTAGGTGTTATATTTATCTATAATTGTATAGATACCACAATCTCTTCTTCATCATGTTGTTACTATATATTTGGGTTTATTTATTATCTTTGGAAGGGGCTTTTGTGAATCTTTTAACCGCATATATATTATTTACCACAAACTGATATGCATTTGTATATATTCACAAAATTTCCAGGGCTCCAATTTGATTATAGCTGGGAAGCAAAGCATGATGAACTGTGGTTCGAGCAGCAAGACCATGTCGACGGCATCGTCGCAGTGCCTTTGGCGTGGCAAAAGCATGATGGATACTACTTCTCCGGAGCCCTTTCATTCCTGTCCGAGAGCCAAAAGCATCGGTGCGCATATGAACGGCGGCGATCAGTCTGTTCAGTTCGGCAAAGAACCATGCATCCTCTTCCTGCCAGGTTCTCTCCTTTTTTCTTCTTGAACGTGTTTTGAAACCCGTAGAACAATCATTCCGATCTTTATAGTTAGAACCCTCTTGAAGATACATATGATCCTTATATCTGTACCCTCACATCATACCAAAAACGGAAAGAAAATTTGGCTCTAGAGTAGATTTGTGTCGAATACGAGAGTACATTTTACTACTCGTTCCAACGAAAACGCCGTGAATGGACAGATGGAAATGGAGGAACTGAGAGTTCGCATACTCAGAATGGGGCCGCCATGTCACTGTTGAAGACAAGTGAAAGCTTCTCACCGCTCCATCATTTTGGACAGTCCAAGGTGCCTCTCCCTCTCCCTCGCCGTAAAACGAATTCACATTGGATTATTCGCGGAAAGCTAGCGTTTTTCGCGATGGTTTATGGACCGAAATCGCATCATTTCCTGAATCAATGAATGATATATCTATATATTCATCTGACTGGTTTAGTAGTGTGATGCAAATTTTGCACATGTGATCATGGTCTAGTCGTTGGCATATATAGAGAAATAGGGTTCTTACTCAGAGATTTTCCTTTGCAGGCTCCCATATCATGCGCCCATTCAGATCCATACTATAGAGTTGACCCGGTTTATGACCCCAATCCAATGGTATGATTTCGCCTGTGGTTTTAGCTTGTAGGAACATATGGAAACCGGTTTTCTATAGATCTAAGTTTGTGTTGAAAATTTTTGCATGTACACATTTATGGATATAGTATATGAGCATTGCCCATATATATGGTTTAATTCAATTGTTTTCAGGCTTACCCCCATAGTCTCGGAGTCCAAGAGAGGATGGTGTTGCCATTAGAAATGGCAGAGGAACCTGTCTATGTCAATGCCAAGCAGTACCACGGCATTCTGAGGCGCCGGAAACTGCGCGCCAAGGCCGAGCTCGAAAACAAAGTTCTCAAAGTTCGAAAGGTACACAGAAGTGTTGAATGGAGGAAATAAATCTCTATGGATCGATCTGACGATTCAAGTATCTCGAGGGCTATATATGGTTACTGAAAATGGCGAGAACCATGTGTTTTTGCAGCCGTATCTCCACGAGTCTCGGCATTTGCACGCGATGAGAAGGGCGAGAGGGTGCGGAGGCCGTTTCCTCAACACTAAAAAGCTCGGCCAAAACTCTTCAAACTCAAAGAGCCAAACGAAAGCCGACGATGCATGGGGCAACGGTAGTGACGGCGGAACGTCTAATAAGGAGACGCCGCAGAAGGATCAGACTTACATCGGCGTGAACGGGATCGGTGACTCGACGTCGAGCCGCCATCGCCGTCCGGCCTTGAAGTTCGACTACACTTCGTTCTGATACCTTGAGGAGATGGTCACGCATTTGGCAGGCAAATCATTCTTGGCTCTTGGCTGTTGCTGCAGCCACTTTTGTTACATTCGCTGTACTGTTCTATAATCACTTGAACCAAGCGTTATTAGTTTGACGTTAGAGAATGTGATTTTTGTATGAGTTTGATTTCACTACGTAAAACCCTGATTTCTGTAAATGTTTTGTCAACGCAAAATCATCAAATCATTTGTTACTGTGTGTTGATTTTATTACGAAAATACCCATTAAAACATGGGGGTAATATGCAATTTACAATATTTTTATGTCCTTTAATGAAAATGAATAACTAATTTTTTTTTTGGTTGAAATAAAGAACTAGAAATGTTCTTTCCACTAGATTCAAATGTAATTGCGCAGTCGCGCAAAAAGATTTTTTTTTTTGTTGTTTCTGAAAAAAGAATATTAAATATAATTTTTGTTTTAATGATTTCCGGAAGGTTTTATTGTTGTGCAGGTTTATTTAAGATTTAATTAATACAGTTTTTAAAATTTGTATTGTTGTGAATATTTATCCTAGATTGTCCAGGGAACCTTTTCCGGTCGATATCGCAGCGTTTGCGGTGAACAAAACAGTGTTTTTACCCTTTTACCCCTCCTCGCTAAAACGAACCGTTTCATTTAAGCTCAAACCGAGCCCTCCAAACGCCGCGTTCAACCGCTCGTCTTCGATTCTCTTGATTAGTTTAGGGTTTTGATTTTCTATAACTCTGTCTAATGATTTAGTGAAATGAGAGTTTTGGCATTTCCTGAATCTTTTGAGAAAAAATATATAATATTTTCTTCCTTTTAACCTTTATCAATAATTTATAATCATCTAATTTAAATAGTTCAATTGATAAAAAGAAATCGCAAATCATTTATCCCATCTAAATTTAAGCTTTAGGTTGTAAAACGTAATTTAAATCATATAACTTGGTTCTGACTCTAAAATTACTCTATATATCTCGACCCACAACACTTGATTACAAAAAAAAACACACATTTTACTACCACACATAAAAAGAGAATCTGATCATTTATAAATTGTATTTGATTATAGAAATAATACTAATACATTACAACCTTAATCCAATGTAGGAAATCCACTGGCCTCATCTAATGTATATTCTTTTCACTGTATTTAATGTATATATATCTATATATATATGGTACTTTTGCCTTCTTTTTGTTACTCATAATAAAATTTTGGGTTAATTGTAATTTGAGCCCTAAACTTTTTGATACAATCAAAACAAAGCTACGCTTAAAATTCTCATCTAAACCCTCAATTTTTTGTCGAATTTTTTAAACCCTAAATTGCTACAAAAACCAAAACAAATCATTTTCTTTTGAAATATCATATCAAATCATAGTTTTATTATTTGAATTATTTCAAACCTTCGTGTAAATTCAGCATTATTTCTACTGGATTAAATACGCATTCTCTAAACAAATTCATGGGTATTAGATAACAAAAAACAAAGACGATGAATAAAATTATGGTCACTCCCTGTATTTTTATTTTTATTTTCTACAATGCAGTTCATCTCATGTATATATCATTATTTATTTATTTTTTTATATTTGTAACGATGAATTATTGATGAACTAATGTAAGGATTTAAATGCAAATGAAAAAAAGGTTTAAATCGGTTCAAATAAAAGAAATTGGATGTATGATATGAAAATTTTTAATGATAGGATTGGTTTTTATTTTAGTAAAAAAAAACAGATAGAGATTAAAATGGTTGAAATGGAAATATCAATGTTTAATACTATTATTTTCTAAAAACAGGGTTTATATTGATTTAAGTGAAACGTTTTGGGTTTAAAGCGGGATGGTCACTAAATTTGAAACTTTTATAGGGCGGCTTTGGTCATTTGGCTAATTCACAAATAAAAAAACTGCAGAAGAAACTTTTACATAAATAAATTTGGGATTTAAACATAATACTCTAGATATTATATATGGCCCGTGATATATTGTTCCAATAAAAATATAGGATATATAACTTGTATATTATATTTTATAGGGCGGAAAGGGTGAATCAAATGAAATTGATGAAATCTAAATTAAATGAAAATGAAGATATAATTAGGAAAGAGTTTTTTTTTAAAAAAATAAATTAAAGTTTACATATATAGAAATGCAAAAATGAGTAAAAATATCTAAAATTAAATGGAGCCAAAGAGGGAATGTCCACCCTATATATATATATAATATTGAATTATGAAAAGAAAAAGGAAATCCTAGGAAGGGTTCATCCAGATAACTAAAACTATAAGCATTTTCAGCTGTATTTTCCATATTGAGGGTCCAAAATTATACTCAATATGCATTTTGGATTCTACCTCCTTGGTTTTGTCTTCTCTTAAAGCCTTTGGAAACCATTTCAAAAACCCATCCCTTTGAATTCAAAAGCATCTCAGGGTGAGAGGCCAGGCCATATAGACGACGGAGCTCGAGATCGGAGATCTTCAGAGCATCGAACCACACGATCGGGAAGGGAATCGCCGGCGGAGATCGTGATCGGTGATCTCGTGAGTGGTAGAGAGTACCATATCAGGAAAAGGATTCTCCGGCGGTGATCGAGCTCGGAGGTCTACTGAATCGTCAGGTAAGGCAATCGGAAAGGGAATTTCCGTCGAAGATCGGGATCGGGAGTTCGCGGAATCGTTGCAAAATCGTGAGAAAAGCAATCAGGGAGGGAATCACCGACAAGGAAAACAACCGGAATCGAGAGATAGACGGACCGGAAAGGGGAATCCCCGACGGAGATCTGAAGAATATATCGGGAAAGGAAATCGCCGGTGAAGGGAGATGCTGGAAGTATTCTTCGCGGTGGCGTTCTCGGCGGTGCCGTTGACGCTATACGTCCCACCGGTGAGGAGTCTGAGTCTGTTCGTGGAGACGATAGAGGATATGCTCCGTCGAACGGCAGTCGTTGTCCTCCGCACGTTCCCTCGAATCCGTCTGGTGTTCGCCAGGACCTTCCGATCCATCTTCAACCTCAACATCTAGGTGGATCTCACCGATCTGTGAGGTTTCATATGAGAATTCAGAACCAGAAAACGACGTCGGATTTAGGACTGCTGCTGTTGTTGTAATGTAATCATGTAGAACAAGAGTTAAGTTTTTCCTGTTCCAATTTTATTGGTTGATCTTTGAATATCTTCGTTTTGTCTCGCAAATCTCTGCTTTCGATTTCCGACATTCCATCTAGGATAGGACCGAGAGTCAAAGACGTATATATATCTTGTTTGGTTTGGTTCATTATATTCACATTCCGTTTATCGGGAAAAAAATGATATTTATTTGTTTAAAAAGAGAGAATTTTTTTATATATTAAAGTTAGTTGATAATCAAATTTGAGTTTATATAAACTTTATTTTTATTGAAGACTCCCGTCTTTAGGTTGATTTCGGTTTGATGATTGGTTATTTTTCTATTTCCGGTTTAGTGTGTCGGTTCAAGTTTGTTAGTTCTGGTTTTACATTTACGATTGTATAAATACTCGAGTCTTTTTAAAATTTAAAATAACACAGAAAATTCTCACACTCTGTTTCTCTCTACTTTCTCTCTCTACCATTTCAAAATGGTATCAGAACAAACATCGATCTCTCACGTTTCTCCTTGATTTTTTCTTTGATTTTACCTTTGATTTCGACTCGAAATGGAAACTGAAGATCGCTCGTCTGCATCACTCGATGCAGATTCATTGCATTCAACTCGTTTGCAGCTCGATCCTTACTCGAATCCTCTTTATCTTCATCCTGGAGATTCTTCTTCTTTGATTTTGGTTACTGAGAAGTTAAATGGCGAAGGAAACTACAATATTTGGGCGAGATCTGTGATAAAAGCTCTGAGTCCGAAGAACAAGGTTGGATTCGTCACTGGCACTGTCCCGAAACCAGCTGCGAACCATCTGGATTCAGGTGCGTGGTCTCGCTGCAATGATTTGGTTTCAAACTGGCTTACGAACTCTCTTACACCTGAGATCAAGACCTTAGTAATGTATTTTGATGATGCAAGTGATATTTGGAAACATTTAGAGAAAAGGTTTAAACAGAAGAATGTTTCAAAGATATATAATGTTCAACATCAGTTGGATATTTTATATCAAGGATCTTCAGATTTGGACAGTTATTTCACTAAATTGAACACACTTTGGGAAGAGTTGAAGAACTATGAGCCTTTTCCAAGTTGTACTTGTGGTAGATGTATTTGTAACGCTGATGATAGATGGATTGCTTTGTATGAGCGTCGAAATGTTGTGAAGTTCCTTATGCGGCTCAATGAGTCCTTTGCTCCAGTTCGACGCCAGATTATCTCCATGAATCCGTTACCTGATATGACTGAGGCATATAATCTGATTGTACATGATGACCAGCAGCATCAACTCTATTCTTCACCGATTGATTCAGTTGCCTTCCAGTCATCTGTTAATAATCAAGCTCAGTTCTCTAAACCACGAGGAAACTACACTCCTTCTGGTAATTTCAATACTGGTAGACCACGTCTACATTGCACTCATTGTGGGTTGAACAATCACACTGTTGATAAGTGTTTCAAGATTCATGGATATCCACCACAAGGCAACAAATCTTCAAATAGCTATGGTTCACAGAATAACTGGCAAGGACGCCAGAATTATCAGAAACCTAAGATTGTTCAAGGGAATAGGCCTTCAGCTCATATGAATATGGTGAATGTTGTACCAGAGATGGATTCTTCTAAGACATCCTTTGATGATAAGGCTGAGGCAATCCTAGCACAATTTGCTTCTCAACTACAGGGACTGCGCGACTCTTTCAATGATGTAAACTTGACAGCTTCTCCTTCAATAAACCCAAAGCCTCCATCACCAGGTACTTTTTTAAATACTCACATGATACTCTCTGTTTTGGAACCTAGCCTTAAAAATTCCACAGTGATTTGGATCTTAGACACTGGTGCGAGTAGTCATGTTTGCAGTGATTTGTCTTTGTTTTCTGAGATACACTTTGTTCCTCCTGTTCTGGTTTCGTTACCTAATGGAGCAACATTATCAGTTGTTCAATCAGCCACTGTTATTCTTAATTCTTTTCTCACGTTGTATTCAGTGCTTTTTGTCCCGTCCTTTTGTTATAATCTTCTTAGTGTGAGTGCCTTGACTAACTCTACTCCTTATTCTGTCACTTTTACTCATTCTAATTACATGATTCAAG